GCTTTATGTGTTATGTGTTTGAAATATTTAGCCTATTAAGGCTTTATATATTATATATTGGAAATATTTCATAACATATTTAATAAAATTTAAATTCATCATCATTTTAATATATAGTTTTAGCTACAACTGAAGGACTTTCTGATCATCCCTCGTCCTTAGCAACAGTGCTCTTGATTTTTACCCTTTTTGGTTCTATTATTTGGTTGTTTTTCCTGAATGGGCTACATAATATAAACAGAGATTTTTTACCAGGAATATACAGTTTCAGTATTTCCTTAGGCCTCCCAAAGCTGGATATTCCATAGTAGGTGATTAGAGTAAAAGGATAGTCTAGGTGATGTCCTTAGAATGGGTAACTTTTCTTCAATTAGAAATAAACCAGTCATATATTACTTAACAATCAGCTTTAAACAAAGACCTAGAATACTTCAAGTTCTTATTTCTTCCTATTCATATTTGTAAAAGGCAATGCAACTCTCTAATTGAAGCAGTGTTAAAGGGTAGAATTTCATACACAGTGTAAATGTTCTCTCAGGAATGGTGCCATTTCCAGTACAAACCATTCCTGATGTTAGCCTCCAGGATGAGCTGCCGTTTCCCCCAGCACTGCTGACTTTAGCAACAGCAAGTTAGAGCTTCTCAGCATGGTGTATTGATAATAAGCAGCTGCTGCCTTTATCTAAACCATCACTTATATGTGTACCTGCTCAGGAACCATTTAGATGTTAGAAATCAACATTGTGAACAGTAGCCTATCTATAGCGCATATTATAAAGAAATATAGGTTGAGTATCCCTAATCTGAAAATCCATAATCCAAAATCCAATATCTTTTGAGTGTTGACACTCAAAACTTAACGGAAATACTCATGGGAGTTCTTCACATTTTAGATTTTCAGATTAGGAATGCTAAATGCAAATATCCTGAAATCTGAAAAACTCTGAAATCCAAAAAAATTTGAAAGCCAAAACACTTCTGGTCCCAAACATTTTGAATACGGGATACTCAATTTGTATGGAGTATGCCTGGCAGTAATTCAAGGACAGCAATAATCTTTACCTTCAAAGGATCCTGGCTATCTTCAAATTACTCCAGAAAGTCACTCTGATTTTTCTCTCCATAGGTGTAACAAGAAGGGATGGGGTTAGGTTAAATCTAAATTATAAACTTATATAATTTTCTCAAGGCACTGTAATGTATAGATCCTGATTCCTGATGGCTTAAAAAAGTTTAATTGGGCAAATTTCCCAATTCGCCTAGGCCAATTTCTTTACTTCACACGTATTTTACAAAACCAATTCAATCACTTGTATTCTATGGGTGTGCCTAACAAATGGCAAAATTTGTGAGGGTGGCATAAGGAACATCTGTCCAGACTTTTCTTAAAGCTCTGGTCATTCTAGTGGTACCCAGGTAAACTTGTGTTTCACCATAAAGATTGAGAAAGTATTTGTCTTAAAAATGCTAATCATAAAAACAAATATTTTTACCTGTCTCCTCCTACCGCCACCATCATCAAAAACCCAAACCCTTAACAAAACAAAAACAACTCTGTAGACTATTTGGATTTTTCTAATATGTCTCACAATTGGGGTGGGGGACAAGTTTAGTTGAAAAAAGCATAGATATTAAAAGTGAGACTCAGGCTCAGTATATCCTGGAGTAGAGATCTAGCTTCAGAGAGTATCTATTCTTAACTTACCCTGAGACAGGAGAAACGTGAATGCACCTCACTCGCCCGTCCTTCTATGGCAGTGTCTGTTTATGAGGAGGTCTCCTGCCATAAACAGGAGGTCAGGTCTGCCATTTTGCTGACCAAGAGTCTGATTTTAGGCTCAACATCATTAACATCAAACACCTAATTTTTCAGGCAACTGCCCACTCTCCTTACACATTTGGTCAGAGTCGGGTCATTTCAGGTTAAGCTCCTGTAAAAAGATGGCTGTTCAGGTTTGAGAACCTCCCTATGTAGTGAGCTGTTAGAGCTGGGTCTAACATAATCTAAACAGAGATCTTTTTACCAGGAAAATACAGTATCAGTATTTCCTTAGGCCTCCCACTGAGGGTCACCTCAGTGGGTCTGTCACAGGTTTTTGTTCTTAATAGAATTCAGAAAAGATCTAAGTGGTGATCACTCAAAAGAAATAAGAAAGATTTATTTCTGAAGAGATTAAAGACTCCAAGAGCCAGCCAGCAGCAACCTCATCTGTCTAGGTTCGGAATGACAGTCACTGGCCTCCTCTCCCATGAACAGTTAGCTGGACTGCAGGAAGGAAACCTGGATTTATGAGGCAGGCTCAAGTGACTCCTGCTCAAGCCCTAACGCACTCGTGCACTTGTCCTAAGGGTCCTTGGTTGAGAAAGCCCAAGGGTCACAGGTTTTCTGTTTGTCTGAATTTGGTTCTCTTTACAAAAGACCAACTCTCCCCACTTTTCTTATGGAGGCAGGTAAATTAACGTTGAACCAAATGGTGATAAGAACAGCAGATGATTGTCCCCAAACCCTCAGGTCTGAGCTCTTTGTCTCCAAAGGCTATCTCCAAAGGTTCTATTTCCTCACGCTAGAACAACTGCACACACGTAGGGGGAAGCACCATTTCATGGTAAGATACTTTGCTACGAGGCAGTCCATGAGCAAACTGAATTACCAGTTAAGATGCTTGGAAGGAAATGGAAAGCTGAGGAAATGCATGAGCATAAAAACTCAATATGAAGGCTAACAAAGTTATGGGAGCCATAATCACAGGATGCAGGGAAGAAAATTCACTTAAAGCAGACGATGCCAGTTTTCAGTGAGGATGCCCTGGATATGTGTCTGCTAATCTAGGGGAACAGCCAAATGGACTCTTCCATTTCTTCACACAACATATGTTTCCATTCTCAGTTTGACATCACAGGCTATTGCTATCCACACTGGAAAAGCCAATTTCATACTCTTTCCAAACAACTGCCAACACGGCGACCATTAGCAGGTGGCTTCCAACAATGTGTGGCAAACTAGGTCCAAAGTCTAGAGAACCGAGTGCATTCTCTTCTTAAACATCCTCAAACTGGCTGTGTCTCTAACAACACCCCCACTTACTCCTCATTGCTCCCTCCCTTTTTTCTGGTTATTGCTTCTCCTCCTTCAAAACTGAAAACGGAGACATCCAGCTGGAAGTCAAAATCAAGACGGTCGTGACTGAACTGCTTCCCTCCGTGCTTCCAGCCCCCACTCACCCCTCCATCCCAGTGGTGCACCATCACCACCACTGAGAACCACAGTCTCACATCTCACTGTGTCATAATACTGGCTCCAACTTTAAGATGTAACCTCTCTCCTAGGAAATTTCTCAACCTTCTTCCTTATGTGACAGAGTATCCGAGCCCTGAAGCTCAGGTGGTGGCTTTCATACCTCTGGGATGAACACCACTCAGTCAGACTCACTGAAAGAACAATTCTTTTGACCTTAATGCATAATTCTTCCTGCTGGTAACGCCCTTCTGCCAATCAAAGGGTTCAGCTGTACTTCTAGTCAGGCCCAAGTGAGAACTTAACGTTGTAAGTTCCAGTCCAGAACACTGGCAACTGGACTCTTTGGGCCCTTCTGCCTGGGGACCTCTGGTCTAGTCAGTTCCATGGAAGGCCTCATTTAGGGTAATCATGAAGACATTAACATTTAGAGCTCAACCACAAACAGGCAACTCACCATCTCCTTAATGGAAAGGTGCTAAAAACTCACATGACACTGAATTGGAAAAGCTTCCAGCCCATCACCTATGGACATTGTTTCCTTTTCATTTTGTTTGCAATGATGTCTTTCCTAAAGACTGTCTTTCCTCCAATGCCCCAACTTGTGTTTCCCCCAATGCGCCCTCTTTTCTGCTTCCTCCTCCTTTTTGGCAATAGGCTTCATTATAAGGTTTCTCCCAGGTAGGAAAGAATACGCTCTTGTGCCCTGGGGTTAGATGACTCTCCTCCGGAAGAGCCAGTCTTTGAGTAGGAGGGGAGAAGAATCCTGGAGTCCTCTGCCTGACGCCAGTTCACTGCAGGAAGCAGGGCAGCAGGCTGGCCGAGCACAGGAAAAGTGTAGGAGAGAAGGCAGGGAGCCATTGATTTTCCAGTTGGCCAGTGAGTGATTAACTCTGCTCCATTAGGAGGGGCGGTTGATCACACCAACACCTCTCAAACCTTGATGCAACCTCCCCATGACCCTTTTTAATGAGAAAGGCTTGGCTGGAGCCTGTCAGAATCTGCCTTCAGGGCGAACAGGCACATCCCTCCTCTGTGCAATGCCCACTTTCCGCTGTAAGGCTGAGGTTCAGCAATGCTGACAATGGAAGTCTCTTTACAGAACCCGTGTTTGATGAAATGTCTTACCAGATTTGAATTAGAGCACATGTTTTGTTTTAAAGATGAAAAGACCAATTCAAAGATGACTTTGTACTTTTTAAAATTTAGCTATCTTCTCAGAAGGAGTGCTTGCTGGAGTATTTAGACTTCTGAGAAACACTGGTTTCCATATGAACACAGAAATCAACCGGAAAGGATGATGATACATTTCAAACATTCTGGACTCGCCATAAACAATTTAAATAGGAGTTATAAGTAAATTTTAAGTAAAGTCAGTCCTGTACCCATCTCCTCTGAAAGGCCTTCTCTGACCACCTTACTTAACGCGGCATGCCTCTTGTCACTCTCTCCTCATACCCTATTTCTGTTTTTCTTCATACAACTTTATACCTTGCCTGTATTTAGACTACATATTTTTATTTTGTCAACCTCATCTTCACCCTGAGTGGATGCTCTGCCTTCGTGTGGCCCAGAGTCTGGAATAGTATCTGTCTGTTTAAGTGCTCAAAATTTTTTTGTTGAAAAAAAAAAATTCATTCTTTTTTTAATGAATGAATGAATGATGCCTGTTGAGATTCAGTGATCCTTTAGTAATTAATGTTTTCTTTGGGCCGGGAGACCATATTGGCTTCTCCAAATGTCCCAGATATATTGGCTGCCATGAAAAAATATGGAATGCTCCATGAATTGACGTGTCATCCTTGTCGAGGAGCCCTGGTATTCTCTGTATCATTCCAATTTTTAGCATATGTGCTGCTGAAATGAGCATAGTAATTAATGTTAATAGCATCATAGTATACAGAGTTGAGAGGCCCCCATCCAACCTCTGCTTATTACATATGAGAGAACCCAAGTCTCAATCAGTGAAGTGACAATCCATGATCTCAGAGTGAGTTGACGGTTGAGGCAACGCTGAACTCAGGTCTCCCAAAGGGGCTACACTCTCTGCAATTGCAAAAGGTGACTGAGAAGGGGTCCTATGTGAAGCAACCCAGGAGCCTGTGTTCTCCTGGTAGCTTCTAGAAGAAAGTCATTTCTACCTTTGCTGAGTCATATTACCTTCTCTTACTCCTCTACAGGATAAGCTTTCTCCTGCTTTGAGATTTTCTTGGCCTGGGACTCTCTGCCCCAGGGCCTCATGAGGCTGGCTCCTCATCCGTCAAGACTTAAGTTCAAGGAAACTGGCACAAAGTGCCCTTCCCCAACCACTTTCTCTAAAATAGGTTTCTGCTCTTCTCTGATCATGTCCTAAACAGTAATTGTACATTATTTAATTCCTGTATTGATTACTTGTTACTGTCTGTTTTGCCTACATGTGAACCCCAGAGCAGGATGGAGTCTGTCTTGTACATTGCTTAATCTATACCACTTGGCATAATATTTAGCACATAGTAGGCCCTTGCCAAGTGTTTGTTAAATGAATGAACAAATGACTAAATACATTTAAAGGTTGTTGCTCACCAATTATAAGGTTAAGAAAGAGATTTCCCAGGTGCGGTGGCTCACGCCTGTAATCCCAGTGCTTTGGGAGGCCAAGGTGGGCAGATCACTTGAAGTCAGGAGTTCGAGACCAACCTGGCCAATATGGTGAAACCCTGTCTCTACTAAAAATACAAAAATGAGCTGGACTTGGTGACATACACCCATAATCCCAGCTACTCAGGAGGTTGAGGCAGAAGAATCAGACAATCACCCGACCCCAGGAGGTGGAGCTTGCAGTGAGACAAATTATTGCACCATTGCACTCCAGCCTGGGTGACAGAGCAAGACTCCGTCTCAAAAAAAAAAATAAAATAAAATAAAAAAAAGAGAGAGAGAGAGAGAAGAGATCTGATGCTGTTTTTAAAAAGCAAATAAAAGTTGGTTTCTGGTTGAAAGACTCCTGAGCAGTTCAGGAATGTGTAGAATTTCTATTTTCATCCTGCAAACACCTTGAGAGAACCTTGGCCAAATTTGTTTCCCAACTTTCCATCAGGGCTAATGGGGAGCCATTCCATTAAGACGGAAACAATTCCATTTTAAAAACACCTCTAGGATGCTACTGTAGTACTGTACAGATGTTCTCCATGTATCTTTACCATCCTGAACTGCAATGACCTCTTTACATGAGTGCTTCTGTAGGGGACATCTCTTAAATCACCTTTGTAAAAATAGCCTTTATTTATGTTACCCAATATTTATTTATTGAATTGCTGCCAGATGCTAGGTTCAAGAAGCAAGAAGAAACCAACAGGGAGGGAATACAGATACAGGAGGCAGAGTGGCTTTTCTAGAGATGATACCCTGCACTGAGACTTAGCAGGAGTAAAGGGGGTGGCAGGCAGGAATGGTGAGAGCATGAAAGGCAGAGGAACACCAGGAAAGGAGCACAAAGTAGAATACGTACCTGTTGGATATGTAAGGGATGGTGGGGGGTCTCACCAGAGACAAGAACAGACAGGGGAAAGGGCTAGAGGTGGAAACTGAGGCAGAAGTCTGACTGTGAGAGGCCTTGTAGGTAAGTTTAAGGTGCTTAGACATTACATGTTTTTAAAAGTTCATATTTGCATTTGAGATAGATCACTAAATGCTGTGGGGACGATGGATTTGAGGATATAAGAATAGCTCGAGGGAGACTGATGAGAACATCTACTGCGATCGTGCAAAATAAAGATGGTGCAGGCCTAAACGGAGGGAATGTTTCCAGAAATGTTTGGAATACAAAATTACCAGTGTCCGGACGAGGTAAGCCTTTATTAAAAGAATAAATGCAACAACCCTGGCTCCCTGGAGAATAAGACTCTTCTTACTACTTTGGAAAGCGTCTCAATCTGAGAAGTGAAGTCCTCATGGACGGAAACTGTTTTACATCTTTGTTTCACGTTGCCCTGTGTTAAGAGACACCTCCGCAGGCAGGCACAGGTACTGTAGGGTGGAACTCTCCTTTATTTATTATCTTTGTCAAATAAAAAGCAAATCTGGATTTAGGTAAGGAGAGACGTCGTTCGAAAGGATTCTTGCATGAAGGGAGTGGGGACACTATATGACACGGAGACCAAGAGATCTGCAAGTGTCTCGAGTGTAAAGGAGGAATGGGCTTTTCTATTACTTAGAGAAGAATGAACAAGGCTCAGGAGAACTGGATGTGGGGAAGTGAAATGGAAGGTGAGGGTGGGTCACGATAGTAAAACCATGTGTACCCTGACGTCAGCCTATTCTCAGAAGGGGCTGTGTGGTGAGGGTGGGTCAAAGTTCAGGGGTCTACAGATGGCGAGAAACTTAGTTTGGTCAAGTCAAGGTGGCAGGTATTTTGTCCAGACTGAGGGGGGGGAGAGAGTTCAGCTAATCATTTTGAGCCAAAGAATGGGAATTTGGAATCCGTGTCTAGCCTTGTCACTAATAAACAAGGGAGGCATCTGTGGGTCTTATCTAAGCCACAGGGAGAAGGGGGGTTCCTTGTAGTAAATCCTTTCCTGGAACACAAAAAAGGGTGGGAGGATTATCTTCATGGTTTCTGTTTTCTAGCAGCATAGAGAGCTCGAGTATAATTCAACAAGGCCATTTTTCTTCCTCTCATTTTTAAGCCAGGAGATCTTGAGGATATTTTCTAACCAGTTTTTCCTTTGCAGGAGAAAATTTGAATATAAAAGGACCTTGGTGCAAATAGATTTTTTTTTAATTTTTATTTTTTTGAGACAGAGCCTTGCTCTGTTTTCCAGGCTGGAGTACAGTGGCATGAAAACGGCTCACTGCAGCTTCAACCTTCTGCGCTCAGGTGACCCTCCCACCTCAGCCCCTGAGTAGCTGGGCCCACAGGCACATGCCACCACGCCTGACTAATTTTTTAATTCTTTGTTGAGATAGGGACTCACTTTGTTGCCCAGGCTGGTCTCAAACTCCTGGTCTCAAGTAATCCTCCCACCTCAGCCTCCCAAGGTGCTGGGATTACAGGAATGAGCCACTATGCCTGGTGAGGTGCAAATAATTTAAAGTACGCTCTGACACTCTGACATTAGCAAACTCCTTCAGGTTTTCAAACCATCAGCAACTTTTTTTTTTTTTTTTGAGACAGAGTCTCGCTCTGTCGCCTAGGCTGGAGTGCAGTGGCGCGATCACTGCTTACTGCTACCTCCGCCTCCTGGGTTCAATCCATTCTCCTGCCTCAGCAACTCTTATGTTTAAAGGGAAAGTTAAAGAGAAGCCTCCAGGAACTTTCTGAGAGACTGATGCTAGCCAAGGCCAGGACTTCTAGCACAGATGAAAACACAAACTTCTTTTTAAAATGAAAAGGGGGAAAAAAGAGAGATACAGTCTTTGGCAAATGTTTAAATCCTGCTCTCATTGGCCCCATATATCTTACAGTGACTGTTATACAATTGTTTTGGAGGTAAATTTATGCTCTCGGTTAACTCCCCTTACAGAAAGCCTCATGCCAAGATTTTGGACACGTATGTGACTGTGGACCACAGTCACCACTTGGTGACAGTCATGGAATTGCACGCGCAGGGCCGAACTGGCGCCCTTGGCACATCTCATATGAACAAGTAGTTATTCAGTGAAGACACAAGTGCAAGTTGGGCAGCCGTGGGCTGGCAAGGTGACATGGGAGACCACCGCTGCCTCCTCCCAGCATTTCCCTGACTAGTCAGTCTCATTACCCATTTCTCTGAAATTTCATAAGGAGTACATTTGCTCATTCGTGAACATTCTCTGTATCTCTACCGCCTACAGTCCAGCCTTTTGGGCCCTTTCCAAAACTCTTCATTTCCTCCTGTCAAAAGACAAAATTACCACAATTTAGCTTAAAGATTTTTTTAAAAATCTTTTTTCTTCCCAGTGCTCAGTGCAGCTGGGATCCTTTGAAAATCTTAATTGGCTTCATTTGCGATTCTAGAATTGGGCAACACTTCATTCCATGAAATAGAAGGAGTGTCCCAATGGGTTCAGCAGAGGAGGCTGGTTTTACAGACAGGGAAGGGCTGAGGAAAGCCAAAACAGGGAACAAAAAGCAGTTTGGTAGTTTTGAAGTTACTTTCCTTGAAAGGTGGGAATAGGGAAATAGAACAATAGAAAAATAACTGATTAGTTGACATCAGGTTGCTTTTTTATAAGGATTAAAACAGAGGGAAATTAATTATTTTGCCCATTGAGACTGGCCTTTATGGCTATTCTCTCTCTCATCCTCCTGATTTCTCAGAAGGTCAGATCAACAGATGAGCCTTGATTTGGTGATGTGGAACTTTAGCATGAGTGACTCCATTTTGGTTTGGTCTGTTGGGCCAAACCAATAGCCTCCTATAAATGTTATGTAACACTTCAAAGAGATCATTTATTTTAGGCCTAACAGTACCATGAAGTAAAAAGAGGGCTGGCTTGAGAATGAGCTCTGATGTTATTAATGTCTCACCGTCAGTTTCATCATACATAAATGTAGATATTAATGCTTTACAAAATTAATGTTAGACTTAGTTAAGAATACATTTGGGCTGAGTGCGGTGGCTCATGGCTATAATCTCAGCACTTTGGGAGGCCAAGGCGGGAGGACTGCTGTAGCCTAGGAGTGAGAGACCAGCCTTGGCAACAAAGTGAGACCTTGTGATATGGTTTGGCCCCTTTGTCCTCATTCAAATCTCATCTTGGATGGTAATTCCTGTAATTCACACATATGGAAGGTGGGCCCAGGTGGGAAGTAATTGGATCATGGGGGCAGTTTCCCCCATGCTGTTCTCATGATAGTGAGTTCTAATGAGATCCGATGGTTTTATAAGGCAGTTTTCTCTGCTCTTGCTT